ATAGAGGCTTAGTTTCATACGTTAGCTCTCATAGAAGCTCAGTTACATACGTCACCCCTAATATTGGACTCCTCTTATGGCAGCTAGTATTTGTTTTCCATACTTATCTGTCTCTAATTTTAAAAATTCTTTAATTTTCGTCCAACCGTGGTTCACCGTCTATAACATACTCAAAACCTAAAAACTTGGATATGGTTCTTTATCGGTAAGATATTAACGACTAAGGAAATATGCTACGTATATTTTATAGGCCTAAACGCATTTGAAGTCCAAACATATACCACTTATTCGATCCGTTGTGTACACTCTAAGTCTATACCTAATATGAAGATTGAACCGCGGGATAACTCTGTAAGTACTCGCAAATGCATTAATTAAATAATTAATATGAATATCAACATAATAGCAAATAATAACACACTTTGCCAAAATAGGATGTCCATCAATTTATTTTTTTATTCTTTATTTTGTAATTAGAGGAATTCATTATTTTTAAATGTTTTTCACATAAATATGGCATTATGATAACTTCCAGGTTTGTATTTTTTAAAAGTATTCTTATAACTTAATAATTTTATGTTTAAATATGACTTCTGTTTGATTAATTGTTTCTTAATTATTTTATTCACTATGAAAACAAGTAAAAGAGCATTTCATTCTTATAATCATTGTTTGTTTGCATTTCATAAAACTATCTTGGTATGTTTGGTTAATTTTTTAGAAAATGAGCAGAATTGTATCATTAAATCTGGTTTCTGAGGATACCATTGATATGAGTTTGTCAAACATATCCCTGATAGAGGCTCAGTCGTCACCCCTATTATAAGCTCCGATAGAGGCTTAGTTACTTACATCATCCGTACTATAAGCTCTGATAAAGGCTCAGTTATCTACGCCACCCGTACTATAAGCTTTGATAGCTCTGAGTTATATACGTCACCTTTACTATAAACTCTACTAAGCTGTTACATATGTCACCCTAGATGTTACATATGTCACCCCTATTATAAGCTCTGATATCTCTGTTAAAGGCTCAGTACATATGTCACATTTACTATAAGCTCTGATAGAGAGTATTTCATTCTTATAACCAGTGTTTGGTTGCATTTTATAAAACTATCTTGGTATGTTTGATTTATTTTCTAAAAAATGAACATAATTGTATAATTAAATCTGCATCGAGAGCACTAAGAAGAGCAGGTTTTACATCTAACAGGAATCCCTTATATCTGCACAAAGGGAAAGTCAAGTTCATTTTAGCCTTAGCAAGGCGCTCAAATTATTCAGAACTTTCAAAAGCAGACATGTCACCTGGACCAACAAATTTGTGTAAAGTCCCAATAAGTTTTATGGTAGCATTCCAGCAGCAGCACTGGATTGCAAGCCAATTTCTTTGCAAAAGTCAATTAAATTCATCCTGGCAATGCAAATGCAATTAGAAACAAAACATCCAAATTGGTTTGTAATCGATGCACAGTTTGTCCAAATATAATATAGTAGGGTGGCTAAGATTACCTTAAGTTTTAGAGAAGAGACGTCAAAATCATCAACTGATGTGACCATCCATAGTATGTCTTCACTAAGAACTTTAGGATTCTTATGCTCTTTCATAATTTTATAAAGCTAAAACAAATTAAAATCAAGAAATTAGCAAATTCAAAAAATGCAGACACACAAACATATCATATTATCACATAGTTTAAGGATTAAGACCATGCAGATGTCAGTATTCTTGGATTGCAAACATTACATGTTTAGTAAAGGAAGAAAATTTTCTGAAGTAGGCTTGCACAATCACATATTCTTTTGAAAGTAAAATGAGCAATATAGATTACTCTAGAAGAAATGAAACAACGTCATGAGGGACACAGTCCCAATACAATGAATCAGCCTGTGAATAGGCTTTAGTAGCTAAAGAATGAGCTATGAAATTAGCATTTCTAGGAATTAAACAAACAGTAAAATTGGAAATAGAGTGAATAAAGTTTCTACAGTGACTTACAACAAAACAAACATAAGATCGAAGGTTAAAATACGGTGTAGAGTTGAGCAATCAATTTTCAAGTGAATAGAAGTTATCATGCGATCCTTCAACCAGGATAGAACCTCTTTGCATGCTAGGGTCTCGACCATGAGAGGACTCGTACATCAAACCAACTAGTCCAGGTCCTCCATAGTCTTGTCCAAATATTACCTAATTTCACCATTACAATTGAGGCTTGAACTCACAACCTCCCATATGAGAGTCCAACTCGTGTGCCATCTGTGCACAAAGTGCTTGGCCACCATTACAATTTATAGTAACACTAATCTTCAAATGTTATTTGTGAACTTTTATCTAACATCTAAAATATGATTGTTGAATGTTCAAATCAAACTGATGTATTTCTATTCACAAAATGATCATTTTTTGCTTGTACACTACTTTATTAATGTTTTAACTATCAAACCCGACACTATTAACACTCCGAAGTAGATCATCCATATCTTAAGGGGACAGTACTTGCCTCAAATATTATACAAGTGCTTATTACAAGCATAAGGTATTAAGGTTAATCTTCAATGACCAAATATAGAAGACACTTCCCTACATGATATACACACCCCTATAACCATATGACACAACTTATAATCTAATTTAAATGAGATGTAAATTTTATGACAGTGTACAGAAGCCAATGAAACAGATCAAAATGAAAGAAAAACAACAAGTATACTAAAACCTATATTATCTATATAAGTTATCCATGGAGAGTTAAATTACAATATACTAAGCATTGGACACCTGGCTAAAATATTACTTTCCAAAACTGGTACCAGAAAGTTAGGTACAAGTATATACAAATGATAAAAATAGAATGAGAAATACTCAAATACCACATGCAAAACAATTGAATACACAACATCCATAATTCTCTTAAATTCAAAATATAAACAACTAAAATAGAACACCAGTGAGATGTTCAACGTATAACATATTATTATTATTATTATTATTATTATTATTATTATTATTATTATTATTATTATTATTATTATTATTCACAATAACATATTATTAGTTTATCTACAAAGGGGAAAAATCTCAATCTAGAGAGCTGTTTGGGGGAAGACATTTGATGGACGGTGAAAAAGCACTGATATTAAAAGAGGCATTTTTTGTGACAGTGACGACCACCAAATTGTGTGGTACAAAAGAGAGCAATACCATTACTAGAGAAATAAGATGACTAGTTGGTTGTTGAGGAAGTATAGATGCAATTCAAACCTGGAAGCAACCAGTTCCATTGATGATGCTTTAATTTTCTGAACAACACAGATTGATGGTAAGCTAGGACACCATGGGCAGCTAACTTCTTTTAATTTGATGTATGTGAGTTTGATTAAAATTATTTCAGAATTAAAATTGCGTGGTCTTAAAAAATGAGTTCAACCTCCAAATTTGATTGATGATATGTGATAAAATTAATGTTAGTATTGGCGAGGTGTTATTCTTTGTTTTCTTATTTGAGCTAGTTGTTGCTTCCTAACTACAAGGCTGTCTTTTATCTCTGTACAATTCTTGTATAAAATTAAAGCCTTTGAATGAAATCAATAATATATTGAGTTTCTTCACAAAATACTTTATATGGTATCAGAGCCTAACATACTCCAACAAGAACCAAAAACAAAAACAAAAAAAAAAACAAAAAAAAAATTCCCTCTTACTTGTGATATGTCTATGACCTCTAAAACACAGTTACCCAGCTAAATGCCCCTACGAACTTTACTACCAAACTAACCGCCTTCAATTTTTTCGTATGGAGAAGGCAGATTCAATACTCGCTCATTTGATTACACCTTATATAGGATATACAATCAAAGCACCTGCACAATTTCTTGATGCAAGGCAAACCTCAACCAATCCTTGTTATACCATTTAGTACAGGCAAGATTAAGTTGTCATCAGCGCCATACTGAGTAGCTGCTCTAATACAATTCAACCATTGATATCCTCTGCTTCAACAGCTCGTACGGTTTGGAACGCTTAACTACTAGTATTGTATGCTCAAAGCAAAATTAGCAAAAAAAAAAATCCGTTAAGTGGGCGTCCTGTTATTGAGTATATATAGAAAATGTGTTCAATTGCAAATGCAGTTGCATTATCACACAACTAGGAGAAGTCTAAGGATGGAAGGAGAATGAATGAGGCATATTATTATTTTACCCACAAAGGAAAATAATTTCGACCTGTAGAGTTGTATGATGGAGGACATTTGATCGTCGGTGGAAAAGCATTAGCCCTTGAAGAGGCAATTTTTTGTGACAATGATGACCACAAATTGTGGAGTACAAAATAGAGCGAGATATGATTACCGGAGAAAGAGAATGACTAGTTGGGTGTTGAGGTAGTATAGATGCAATCCAAACATAAAAGCAACTTGATCCATTGAGAATAATTTCACTTCTGAGTTGGTAAGTGCATGTTAATAACATTTGTTTGAATTGATGCTTTAATTTTCTAAACAATACAGATCGATGATAAGCTAGGATACCATGGATGGCTAACTTATTTTATTTGTTACCGTATCTACAAGATTACCTTTTATGGAATCAATAATATATTGAGTTTCTTCGCAAAATACTTTACATGCTTGAGATATGTCAATAACCGCCCTATGGAGAGGCAGATTCAATCCTCTCTCAATGGATTAGACCTGGATGGGTCGTTACCCAATGCCCTGGAATTTTTTAGGCTTTTGAGATGAAGATAAAGGTGTGTGTAGTATACTACTTCAGCTGTAAAACAAGGGTAGTACACTCGTTTATTATGCTAGGTAGGGTAAGGTGTTCAAGAAGTGATATGATTTTGATAGCTCAAAGTATTTATCATTGTACCCTGTAGCTTCTAGAAATTTTGTAGACTTAACATTTTTTGGTTCTTTGAATGTAAAATCTCTTTACAAAACACAAAAACCACAAGTGGAAAATGCACCAAATTCCAATAATCTCAAGACTGGAGCAGGATTGCAAGTAAATTTCATTCTAAAATGCACAATTCAAGCAGACTCCACAAAAAGAATTGAACATAATGTATGTACTATCAAAATACTTTTTTCCCAAAATTAAGAGCAGTGAGATAATGCAAAATGGTCGATACTGAGATGTTTGATGTCAAGCAATACAACCAACACTAACAATTTTCAGATAAGATCAGATCCTCCAACCAAAATGGTCGCCATAGAGGAAATATCTCCTATTACCCTATCTTCACCACAAGCTTGCAGATTGATTAACCACAGCAGGATGATTTTTGGGCTGCAGCAGCTGACCCTCCTGCCTGGTCTTGTTGGTTAATCTTCAGGGTCTGAGGCTGAAAGAATGGAAAGGATTAAGCCAACTAAGCATGGCTAGCAAGTAGGCATTGAAGATTTCAAGATAGTAACATTGAAAATATATTGTCACAGGGGAGAAAATGCAGTTAATTGCCCTATCCTTCATTTTTAGAGGAAACATAAACTTTTTTTTTCCTCTTTGTTGAACCCAATAAATAATTCCTATTCACTCAATTTGTAACATAAATTTGTCTATGTCCAATTCGGTCATCCAACTCAAAAAAATACAATTAAGTCCCTCAACGATCTAAAAATTATGCAATTTGACATGTTCCTCAAGTCATTGCTAACATGGCAGTCACCCTATTAAAAAATTATTATTTTAAATTTATTTTAATATTTTAAATTTAAAAAAAAATAGAAACCTCCCCGTCTTTGTCTCCAAAGAAAACTCTTCATCTCCGGCCTGGAGGCGAAGAAAACGCTTCGTTTGGCCAGAGACAAAGAAGTGGAGGGGTGGGTTTTTTTGTTTTTTATTTTATTTTATTTAAAATTATTAAAATAAATTTAAAAAATAATATTTTTTTAATAGAATGACCGCCACATCAACGATGACTTGAGGAACAAGTCAAATTTGGTCAAACTGCATAATTTTTGACAGTTGAGGTACTTAGTTGCACATTTTTTGGGTTTGATGGCCTAATTGCACTTTTGTGTGTAGTGTGGGGGCTAATTTGAACATTTTTTTCAAAAATTCTCATCCATCACAACAAAGTAAGAAACAATAAAGAAGGGGCTCAGGTACCTCAGCTTTTGAATCGGATTCGGCAAGCCTTTTTTTAATATCCCTAGCTATTGAAAAGAAAACCTCCTCAACATTCATATTGGTCTTGGCACTCTGCAGAAAATTGCCAATAGAAATTAAGAAATGCTTTGCTAGTAACTCCCAATGCCTACAAGGCCAAGACAAGTTCCATAATACTCACCGTCTCAAAGAATTTTATGCCATATTCATCAGCTAGTGCTTGACCCTTGGAAGTGGGAACAGCCTAAAAAAGGAAGGTTCACATGCGGTCAGTCAAAGAATAGCTAATAAGAGCAAGCAAGTACACAAGTATACACATGCTAAAGAGAGGAAAAATGCATCACCCTTTTGCTTTCATCCATGTCAGCCTTGTTCCCAACCAAAATTTTATTGACATTATCAGAAGCATGCTGTTCAATATTTCGAATCCAGTTCCTGATGTCTAAACGTGCAAAAATCCAAGGAGCCAACTAATATAGTCAGTCAATTACTTAACAAAATGTTGGAAGGGTATAGTGAATAGAGAGGGATTTGTTGTAGAGGGAGGGACAGGGGGCACTGAGGAACATTTACAGAGAATAAATGGGGATAAACATTGGAGATGGCAATAAAAGCATATGTGGAATTACTGTTAAATGATGACTCGTCAGTCACGTCATACACCAACAAAATACCCATGGCTCCACGATAGTAAGCTGCATGATGAATGTTAACAAGTGAAGATGCTTAGTGTTCAAATAGAATGGAAAAAATATTCTAAGGAAATTTAAGGAAAACACAGTGTAGAGAAATATATAACATCCACTATTACTAAGCCAAGCCCCAAATATGTTCCCTTGTGCATATGTACTGACCAAAAGCACAAATATAAATAGCTTCCTACAGAGTTTTCTTTCGAGAGGTAGAGAGGGAAAGAACACCATGAAGTCATTTCATAAACATACACCAAAGAATGCCCACACCATTTTTAAATCAGATACAAATTTGGGGTACTTTCTGCAGTTCCAATAGAAAGGTACTCCCAACGTCCCATTTTATGTGTCTGATTCAGTTAACGAGGCTTGACTAAAGTTATTTTTAATTCAATTTTTCATAATATTAAGTTTAGTATTAGTATACAAAAGTTATATATTTAGAAACTACACTAAAAGTACTACTAAACACAAAAAGTCAATTTTAAAAATGAGTAAAAAGTACTAAAGAAAATAAACAAAGAAAGAGTTGGTTTGACCGATGAATAGTAAGTAGGACAGATAAAATGGAACAAAGAGAGTACATTTTATTCCTAATAAATCAATATAAAGTGCATCTACAATTTTGAGATAATGTGAAAGTCTGATTACAATTTTTACTTAGTGCATGCACTGTTTAAAATCGTTTGGAAGCATCCATCCATCCAGAATATAATACCTCTGCTCTTCTCAGTTCCAATTTCTAGCCCCATAACAATAGATATACAGCCATAGAGATGTAATTACTAATTAGTATGGCATGAAGTAGGGGAACCAGAAATCTTAGACCAATAAACAATATATTTTCTTTTAATAACACCACTTTTGTACACCAGGCACACTCCAAGATTTGTTTTCTGTTTTCCTGTGACATTGTTTCCTCTTAGCAACATTTTTGGGATGATTAAAATTGAATTGCCCAGATAAATTTTTGCAGCATTTGCTTAGCCAATGTTAGTAAGGAGAGTAATCATGAACACAAACTTACCAGTAGTGATTGTTCGGAACCGCTCTTGACCAGCAGTATCCCAGATTTGAAGTTTGATCCGTTTTCCATCAAGCTCTATAGTCCTTATCTTGAAATCAATGCTGCATAATTTTTTTTTATCAGTTTGCAGAAATGAAACACTTAGAATCAACATTCTCACAACCACTTTGACCTTTTCTAGTAAGTATATACAAATGTTCTATGGACATTGGTTCAGAAGTGATTTCTTTTATCACTAAACTAAGCCTTTTCCTCACTACAAAAGGAATTTATATTCTTTAATACAATTTTTTTTCCTTTAGATATTGACCCATAATGAACAATAAGCATCAAATAACCCTTAAAAGTTAAAAATAAATACCCAATGGTAGTAATGAAACTGGTGGTGAAGGAACCATCTGAGAAACGTAAAAGAAGGCAACTCTTACCCACGCCTGAAATTCGCATTTAGACTGAAAACGTCAGTATATCACAAGGAATAACAAAGCATAAACAGAAATGCAACTGATGGCCACCACATCTTGTAGCTCCAATCAGGGACAGAAGTTTGAACTTAAAAGAAAAAACTTGGAATGAGATATGACCCCTCCCTAAAATACTCAGAAATTTTCTACCTGTACTTCTATTCAAAAGTCAGGTGAACTTTTATCAATACTAAGAAACAAATGGCAGAACAAGGAAGCACCTTAAATTTTATAACATATTACAAAAGTAGGTTGGCTTGCTACAGTTTATTTTATTTCATTGACTAATGTCAACGTCCTCTGCTTTACTTGCTATCAAAGTTCTCCAAAAGTCAAAATGCAGTTTATCACCATCTTATACACACGATACATCTCCTCAAAAAGACCCTGGATTACTGGATTAAACTTAAGCTTAGATTGTATATTTGTATATCTGCAACTAAATGTTATAGAATATATAGAAAACTTTCGTACTTTCAATGTTATCCTCACCTAGAACAAAATAGACTTCTGCAAGTCAAATAATTTTTTTTTCCCTGAGAAGTTAAAAGAGCCTTACCTTAAACAAGCATAAAAGAGCCTCAAAAGATAAATTCAGTTTCCAAATAATCAAATATAAAAATTTAAAAAGAAATTTCAATTCTTGGCCCTTAATAACCCGACAGAAAGAAAGGAAAAAAGAAAGCATGTGCACCAGTTTATTCTAGACTTCTGGCAGAATTAATATCTCCACACAATCCTCAAATTTGCAAACATCAAAGGAACTTCATTTCTCAAGCAACCCGCATAGGCTTAATTCATAGTACAGACAAAAAGGAGAACTTTAAAAATCCTCAATCCAAAAATCACCATACAATACCTACCCAAATGGACCCAGAAGCTTCGGATACTGAAATAATGAATAAACATTTTAATACCAATTACATTTGAAGAAAAGACCAAAATAATAGCGACAAATAAACAGTGAAACGCCACTAAGATCCAATTTGGAATGCAACAACATATTTATCAAAAACTCGAAATAAATCAGTCAACAGAAATCAGTAGGCATTCACGCGATAGAATAAACACAAATAAGTACAGGCAAAAACATACAAAAGCCAATTAAAGAAAAAAAAAAATACAAATTAGGGCACGCACCGCTGTCGCCGATCAAGAGGAGTTTGATGAGGTAATCATAGTCGGCTCGAGCTCTAGCGGGCGGAGCAGCCATTTGATTTCTCAGATATCCAGGTGCTAATGATGAAAATGGAAACAATAACCCTAGAAAAATGTATAACAGTTGGGGAGAAGAGGGTAATTCTAGGTAATTATGAAGAAATCAGAAAATGAAACCTAAACAATATCCCAAATAATACTCAAACAGTAATTGAAAGAGAAAAAAGGGAAAAATAGAGAGAGAGTGAACAGACCGGATCGAAGAAAAGTGGAGAAAAGATGAGAGAGCGAGAGATGAAAAGAGAGACCGGGAGAGAGAGAGAGATATGAGATCTAAAGATCTAATCAACCTTCACCGGGGAAGTGGAAAAGAAAGAGGGAAGCCACTGTGGGGACGTCAGCACCGGTCGGCCGTTGAATTTTATTTCTTTTTTACTCCTAATTACGGAGTACTATTTTCACCCGAGACAAGAAATGAATTTGCTACAATATTTTAAGAATATCTGAATCGATATATAATTATATAAATTATAATATCAAATATTATATAGTGTAATTGAAAAGATAATTTGGATCAATTATGTTTTGTAGTATTATCATTGTTTGAGTTTGATCAAATAATTGTTGAATTAATAACTAACGTGTAGATGTAAGTATTCGGTGCTGAAATTTTGGGGATTTTATATATCAGTGTTTAGAATTTGTATAACTTTGAACAAAAATGTGATATTTGAAAAAATATATATATAATATCACCGTACTGGTTCGAATTACACATTATTGAAAATATCTTTGTAGACGACATTGGTAGTAGTAACAAAATCTTGTCCATCCTCGTCTAGAGCTAACACCTTCAGGCCATCATGATGGGTGACTTGGAAAAAAACCACATACAATTGATCGTGATTAAACACCAATTTTTTCAGCAATAACCAAACATGAGTTAGTGTTTGACCCTGGATTTTGTTGATAATCATGGCACATGCGAGTATCAATGTGAATTGTTTGCGCTGAAACTTGAAGGGCAATCTCGTAACGAACAAATGAAGTAATAAAGTAATGATGTATTCATAAGTGAGCCTATAAAATCACAATCATTTTTAATTATGAAATAGGGGTCATATAAGCTTTCAAACTTGTTAGTAAGTGGAATTAATTCCTTAAATTTAAAAAGTTTTAAAGAGATCATTGAATTTAGGAATACAAAAGTACAATTAGACATTTTATATCTATATCTTTATTTTTATCTTCTTTATATCTACAATCTACAATCTACAATCTACATCTATCTATACAATACAATACAATTCTAATAAGAGCCAATAATGTTAGACCCTTAACTGGAACAAAAAAATATCGGTCCTATTGTTTCTTAAAATGAATGGTTCATATTATACTATTGTTTCTTAAAATAATATTTTATATTATTTTTATTTTAGTATTTTTTATTGATTTTCCTTATTTGCCCTCTATTATATTATTTTCTTCCCTTAAATAACCTAAATTCCGTTAGCATAAACTTTAGTAACGGAATATTCTGTTAAGTATTTATTATTTTAACTTACACATTAATTTCTATAATAAAAGTCTTAGTTTCGAACCACATCCCAATTAGAGTTGGCATAATTGTTAAACATATACTACGAATATGTTAAAATATATTTAAAATATATATAATATAAAATTTAACATAAACTTTGTTCAAATAATTAGTCTGACTAAATACATAACATTCAAAGTTAAGCATCAAAGATTATAAATCAAGAACTTTAAAAATCATTTGATCAGAAAAAAAAACTTAATATTCTTTTGATTATTTAGATCAGAAAAAAACTTAGGGCCCGTTTACTAACAGAAAATTATTCTCTGTTTTCGAAAACTGAAATTGAAAACTTGTTTACCTGTACTTATTTTCGAAATGCATTCTCCATTTACTAAATTAAAAATGTACTACATACATATATTTATAAGTTATTTCGTGACAAATTAAAATGTCAATACAAAACATATTAATTGCAATAATTTAATATAAGTTGTTTCGTGACGAAATGTGATTACAAAACATTGCAAATAAAATTGAGTACACCATCAATGATTATAATTTGCCCAGAGTGCATTTGCGATGTCCTCACGCAATTGTAGCATTTGGTCTTGTTGACTCATATCTAATTGTATGGTATTATTTCCACCACCACTACTACTTCCACCTTCATCGAAAACCATGTCCTGTGTTCCGTACATCATACCCAATTGATCATTCTTATCTTCCAACCGAATGAAATTATGTAATGCACAACATGCAAGAGGAATTTGTCTTTGCCTAATCAATGGGTAACCATTAATGGACTTTAGAATTGGGAATCTTGCCTTTAAAAGTCCAAAACACCGCTCAATCACATTCCGCAATGATGAGTGTCGATAATTAAATAGGGCTTGCTTATTTCGTATTCGTCCTTGCCCACGAAAGTCATTCAAGTGATAGCGCTCCGCGCGGTATGGTGCCAAAAAACTGGGTGCATTTGGGTAACCAGCATCAACAACGTAGTAATAACCTATACAATTGAGAAAAAAGAATATACTTAAAGAAGTACTAAATTACACTAAGTTAAATAATTGAAATTAATAGCTATTCGAATACTCTTACCTTCGGGTGGCATAGGAAAATCACTTCCAGGCTTTGAAATTGCATTTAAGAATATGCGAGAATCATTTGCACTTCCTTCCCAACCCGCATGTACGAATGTAAACATCATGTCATGCGAGCAAACTGCCATGACATTTTGGGTCAACATTCCTCCTTTTCTACCTCGGAATGTGCTTTGCTTTGATGCAGGTACCCAAGCTGCGACATGTGTTCCATCTATAGCACCTATACATTTCTATCACTAAGATTGTAAAATATTCGTATTAGATATTTTACATAAATAATTATATTAATTTTATTAAAGTTATGTACAACTACCAACCATACCTCAAAATAAGGATACCATTTGGGATTTGCTAAAATTTCTGGTTGCACCGGTCCTCTATTCACGCGCTTGATGATTTTATTTCCCAATCGTACAAGTGCACGTATGACACGCTTCACACATTTATGTACAGTTCTAGTGGAATGTTGAAACCGCTCAGCAATTATACGTTGTGAACTTCTATGCGTTAGAGCTAGGAGACCCATTGCTAATTGCTCCTCCAGTGATATATGTCTTGTATCTTTTAACGCATCCAACCCCTTCAATCTATCACATAACTTTTCGAACACAAGGGGCACCATCCTAAAAGATTCATAACACCTAGTAGGATTTCCATGCAAGAGTTCATTTATGTAATCTTTACCTGAAAGGATTGAGGTCCTACATGGAGTCCTTTCTACATCGTCCATCAATAAGCATGCAGCAATAATGATAAGTACTAGTGCATAATCTTCTTCATCACTGTCACTAGAGCTATTAGAACTATAACATTGTTCTGACATTATCCCTGCAATATGAAGTGTAATACACGTGTGAAAACAAAAATAGTCTTGACATTTAAAACTTAAATAAGTGTTATTACAGACATAGTCATCAATTAGCAAATTAAGGAGGTCACAAAGTCCTAAGCAGTAACAAGAACAACAACAACATATAAGATCAACATATTCAAATGAAAGATAACACCCAGTCACGTTGCCATTCAGGTCGTCGCATTTCTAGGAACGCTTCACGAATGTCAGGATTTGCCCACTGCTGGATACATGCATTAACGGCTTTAGAGGGAATGTCACCCATGTTGTTCAATATCTCCATACACGCTTTCATACTGTATGGGTTACCCACTGCCGCCGTACTCATCATACTTGCATCTTCCCTAGCTTTTCGACGGATTTGTTTTGAAGAAATACTCATACTAATAGTATCCAATGCATTGCCAAACTGTTCCTGCAATTTCTTGGCACTGCTCTTCTTGGTGCTACCACCAATATTCAACAAATCATCCAGACTCCTTTTCCCTTTAGAACTGGTACTACCTTCAGTAAAAAATGATGATGGCTTAGCACTATGCAATAACTCATCTTCATCATCACGTTCCTCATCAGAGTTTGGTGGCCTTTGTGCGGAAGATTTGGCAAGACCTCCAGTAGCAACAGATCGGGCAAACACCTCAGCCATTAGCTCATAGTGTTTGCAACCATTTCGCTTAAAAGCCTTGAATTTAGAAGGATTCTTATGTTTCAACCATAAATACATATATTATTAAAGTATACAATTGAATGAAATAATTCGGTATCATTATAAACTAATAGAACAAGAAGTTTCTTTTTCATACCGCGTAGAATTTATTCCATGTATCCTCACATGTGTGCACAGTGTTTGTAGATGGGTTGTATGTTACCCCGGTATGAGCAATCAACTCAGAAAACTGATTGTACAACATTTTCAGCCTATTCATCTTTCCTTTAAGTTTGAAGGGCCCGTAACATAACCCAGTGGCTTTAATCATCTCACGATCAATTTCTTGCCATTCTGAAGGCTTGAATGAAAGCTTTCCATCCGCAGTTTTTTTGACTCTTTCATTTAAAATACTCAAAAATTGTACAACGGCCGTATCGGGCCATTTAGCCTCATCATCATTGGTTTCTGTAACGTTATTCATCTAAGCAAATGCAAATTCATTCAATTCATAACCAACAATTCTAGCTACCATATGTTATAATCATGAGATAAGCCAGTTGATCAAAAAAGGATAATAGCTCTATTTCTCAAATAAACAAACTCAAGTACAGTAAAAAAAGAAGAAAAAAAAAAAACAGATTTAGAAAGGACATTACCCTGGAACGTGGTGATGGGCACAATCCAACCGATGATTTTGGTGACTCCGTCTTTTGGGGTGAATAAGCTATGTTATAATCATGAGATAAGCCACCTGATCAAATCCAAGTTAGCAAAATCATGTAAATTTCAACCTAAAATCATGTAGAAACATTACTACTGTGTATTTTTATTAGTGATCTTATGCATTTTTGTCAATTGTGGTGTTAGGGTCAAACATTACTAACATGTAATACTGAACATCACATATAAGTTCACAGACAACGCTTGGCTATAATCTAGAATATGTGCTATACCTTATGAATATCATGTACATATATCACAACACACTCATGTAAATGTAAAATCTTTAATCCTTCTGCTAAATACAATCAATATATATCATAATATATAACTGTGTAAACTCGCACTACACTCACTGCTCATTGTTTTTAATACTTAGAACTATAATACATTACTCATTATTTGCCAAACTGTAGTTCTATGTCATGCTATATGCTACTTAATTCTATATCCACCATATTATATATATGAGAAACTTACTAATTGCATTTATGATACTAAATTGTCATGTATAA